AGAATTTATACTTTTCTACTTCCATATATGTGGCATTTTGGCATGTACAGCAAGCAGGGCAGAAGAACTTGGAAGCATCAGGTGGGGGTGAGAGGGAAGGGGGAAGGCTGAGGTTCTCTTGTTAGCCCTATTGACCATGTTGAAAATCTTATTTTCATTATCAAAAGAACACACACTTAGAAATTTTAATAACAATTTTATAGAGTTAATTTTATGTATTTTCAGCCTAATAAAAAATGACTGTATTTCTATCTTTTTTTGTAATCAGTAATTCAATACTATTATGGCTTATCACTCTGTGATGGCTTGGAATTATTTTTTAAAAGAGATGAGAGGAATCTTTTACCACAGGTAGTTTGAAAAGCAATGATCACTACATTAAATGACTCCCAGAGAACCTTCTTCTTTTTTCCCCTTCCTCCCTTTCTTCCTTCCTTTTTTTTTTTTTTTTTTTTTGTCTTTATGACCACTTCCTATACGTCTTTCACCTCCCTGTCCCCCAACTTGATGTCCAGCTTTAGGCTACATTGGTTTAAAGACACAGAGGGCAAGGAGACACCAAAGAAAGAGGCAGGCCACTCCAGATTGGGAGGTGGCAGGTTTAATAAGGAAGAGAATTTAATACAAGGCTTGCCTTGGGCACCACAAGACAGTAAATCTCCTCACCTGCCCACCAAAATCTTAACGTTTATGTAGAGGGCTTAACTGTGTTCAGTCATGTATACCACCTAGATGGTCTCAATAACACATTACTCTCTCAAGTCTGCATTCTTGAAAATGGACCCCACTGTGGGAATGATGGGCATAAAATACATTCCAAAGTCAGGGGAGGGGGTGAGGAGCCTTGATTGTCAAGCAGTGATCATATTCTCTTGATTACCTCTTCCGAGAGGCTGTAAGTCTCATCTTGTACAATGCTTACCTTGAGAAACTCACCTACATAGGTTGTTAATCTAATGTTGGCTAAGAATTCAGATAATCACATATGTTTATGCAAATTTGAGTACGCAAGCTCTAAAGGTCTGACCAGGCTCTCTTTTGTAACAGAAATAAGCTTTGAAACATGGGCTCTATTTTGGCTGCTGAGAGACAGCTTTTTGAGTTTCACCCTTGTTTTCAATCATTTTGGAGATTATTAACATTGCCATGAAAGGACCTCTCATTACAAATGTGTTACTTGGATAATAGGGCATGAATCATAGGATTTTAAAGAACCTGTGTCTCAGCCTAACCTAATTCCTGTAACCATGAACAATTACAGTACAGCAGAAAATGCCCCAAATTTAGATAACGCCTTCAGCTTACCAAGTACCTAAAGCATTAGAGGATGAGATTGCTAATCACAGTTGAATGCAAACAGTGTGTGTTTCCTAGTTTTAAGAAAACTATTTGTATATGGGACAGATGCAACTATTTTCTGAAAGGTCTACTACATTTCAGTTGAGTTTGAATTTACCTTCTCTAAAGAACTATGTTATTATCATGTGACAACTGTACTTAGCAAATTCAACATTGCTGGTGAGCAAAGGACGGAGTGGAAAAATCAGTCCAGTGTTCTGGCTCTGCAATGCACAGAGCTAATTAAAGTGCACCATTTGTCAAAGTCAATGGAAACCCTGTGTCTGGATCAGCTTAAAAGAACATTAAAGGGAGAAATGGGTTCCAGCAGCAGGGAAAGGAAATTTCCTATTCTTAAACAGAACACCCATATTGTGGGTATCCTAATGTATACCTCCTACAGAATTCTTTTTTTCCCAGCAATTTTATAGCAGCACTTTGAAAACAAATAATTATGCCTTTACTCCAAAGCTTATAAATTCGTTAAAAATAATGTATTTTTACAGTAGCCAAAATATGCTGCCATAGACCTTTTAGCATTATTGGAGAGTAAGGGCTATAGGAATAAATCCACCAATCCTCTCCTATAGCATACTAATAATAGAGTAGAGACGATGAATACCAATGTATATTTTATATTCCCATTTTCCTCTCTTTTTTCCCCTTCTCTTCCCTCAGAAGGTGAGAGAGATGGGTACTGAATGAATAAATACTCAACTGAACTGGAGAGGCTGGCTGACATGAAACTATACTGGAGAAATAGGCTGAAACTGGGGAACAACTTTAAAACATGAAATCAAGCACTGAAATCAGTTAGCTGAACCAGCAATTTTAGCAGCACTGTGGCTATACTACCTTTATGTTTTTTATATTTTGAGGTAATGGGAGGAGAAAAGGGAGAGCAATAAATCTGATAGGCTAAAATCTGTTAGAATCCCCTACAGAATCACACATATAGAGCTGAGATAAAGCTTAGAAAAGATGGAAACTGTGCCTTTCGTTCCAAAAACTGAAAAAAGGCACAGTGACTTGTCCCACTCTAAGCAGATACATTATTTTCTTGTGCTGACAGTGCACCCCTTCCAGTTCAGGCCATGCCAAACAGCAATAAGAGTTCATTTCCTTGCTGCATGTGTGCATCAGGAGTGGCAAAAACAGACTGATTCTTAAAGAGAAACAGAATCATCATTGATGTTTGCCTGCTTCATAACCAGAACACCCATGTTGTCAAGATTTCACATTATCTTATTTGTTTAAAGCAAAAACACTCCAATCATTACATTAAGTTAAGCACAATTAACTATATAGGTATGCACAATTATTTAGTCAGCATAATCATGTCCCTAGATGAAAGTTATTATAATTTACTGCCTAAATGGAGGTGAGTTTCTAAATATATTTTTCAATAATCATTACTTTATTTGCATGGCACTCAATTAACTTACAAGGCACAGGCTTTTTTGAAATCTTCACAACCCTGTAGATTAGTAGGGCAAATATGGGGATGGTGATGATGATGGTGATGAAAACGATGACAGTGATGGTGATGACAACAGTGATGATGGTGATGATGGTGGTGATAATGATTGTTATGATGGTGATGATGGTGATGGTGATGGTGATGATGGTGTTGATGGTGATGATGTGATGATGGTGATACTGATGGTGATGATGTGATGATGATGGTGATGATGGTGATGAAGATTATGTAATGGTAGTGATGGTGACGATGATGTTTATGATGGTGGTGATGGTGATGGTGATGATGGTGATGATGTGATGATGGTGATGGTGATGGTGGTGAGGTTATGATGAGGTGATGATGTGATGATGGTGATGATGGTGATGATGATTATGTAATGATAGTGATGGTGATGATGATGTTTATGATGGTGATGATGGTGATGATGTGATGATGGTGGTGATGGTGATGGTGATGGTGATGATGTGGTGATGGTGACTATGGTGATGGTGGTGATGGTTACGATGGTGATGATGGTGATGGTGATGATGATGGTGATGGTGATTATGGTGATGGTGATGGTTTTGAAGGTGATGGTGATGGTGATGATGTGATGGTGGTGATAGTGATGGTGATGGTGATGATGATGGCGATGATGGTGATGGTGATGGTTATGATGGTGATTGTGGTGATGGTTATGGTTATGATGATGATTGTGGTGATGGTGTTGATGGTGATGGTGCTGATGTTGATGATGTGATGATGGTGATGGTGATGGTGATGAGGTGATGATGAGGTGATGATGTGATGATGGTGGTGATGGTGATGGTGATGGTGATGATGTGGTGATGGTGACTATGGTGATGGTGATGATGGTGATGGTGATGATGTGATAATGATGGTGATGGTGATGATGGTGATTGTGGTGATGCTGATGATGGTGATGATGGTGATGGTGATGATGCTGTTTTCTTAAATATAAGGAAATGGGGATAGCTTAACTAACCTCCTCTGGATCACAAAGCCAGTTGATGGGCAGGTCTTCTTCATGATCAGTGCTCTTGCCATTGCTCAGTGTCTTAGATTATATATTTATTGTTTAAAATTTTTTTAAACTTAAATGCAAGCCCCTTTTTATGCATGAAGCAATTTGCATTCATTAGTAATTATAACCAAAAGGTCCAAATTAATTAGTATATGTCACTTTTTATTTAAATGGTTCACCAAATAATAAGCCACAGGGAAAACACTAAGGCCCAGAAAGATTACAGATAGATATGGTTAAATGTTTTTCCTTATGTACTTAAATTTTAGTCAGTTTTAGAAAAGGCCTAAGGGAAGCATGAGAAAACTGAGGCGACTCAAAGATAAAACTATTTAAAAAGAGAATCTTCCTTAAATTTCCTTAGCTTTTTCAATTTGCATTTTTTAAACATATTTTTTCTTTTTTATGAAATTACTAAAAAAACAGGTTTCCTATTTATAAACCATACAATAATAAGTATATATGACATAAAATAATTAAAGACTCAAGGTTTTGACACTGCTTCCTTTTAGAAAATATGTGCGAAAAAGAAATAAGAATATTATGAACGCCAGAGACTGAAATTTGTCTTTTGAAGTACATCAGCCTATAAAAAATAGGAGCAATTATATGGCTCACTGCAGTTCTGTTTACATAACTGGAATACATAGTCTTCTCTAATGTTGGTCATAATATCCATATTAAAAATTAAAAGGAGATTTTTCATATACTAGAGATTATTTTAATTCCTCAATTTTGAACCATTTAAAAATTTTTCATTTGATTTTAATAGCATATTAAATGTTATTACATATGAATTATGGAAGTATAAAAATATTACACTTGCTTTCATTAAGAGCCTGCACTTTACACACTTTCCCTTTAATAAACTGTAACATCTTAAAAATCTTCATTTATAGACCATCTAAATTATGTTGCAATTTGCAATTAAATAGCTGAGATCGAATCTATCAGGAAGAGTTATTACACTATTTAAAGTAGTAGTGGTGTATATTGATGCCCCACTACTAATCCTATTAACTACTGTCCAGGAAATTTGTGTATGGTTGCATGAATTTAGTGTCTTTACTGTTCATTTTCTTCGCCCAGCTACATTTTTTCTTCAGCAGTGTTACAGATTGGCAAGCACAATTATTTAATCATAGTAATCTTAAATGATTTACCATGCACCAGGATATACGCACCATATCAGAATCAATGTTCTCATATCTTTTCTTGTTTTCCACAGAGCCAAAAGTTGATCCAGAAAGGAGTTCTCTTTTACACATAATTTCCATGGTTTTCAGAATGAATTGCACATTTGAAAAGATGTTTGGATATTTGTAATATAATTCTTCAGAGACAGAAAGTGCTATTGTAAGAAAAAGAGTTTGTGATAAATATTTCATTAATCTTGCATTTTGTTTCATTTGTCTTTGGTTATTAAAATTAAATTAAATTCAGTACTTAGATGCTAAGCTCCTGCACATTTCCCCACCTATTCAAGATTTATAATGTTATGTGTGACCCCTGGTGGTATAATAGAAAACTACTACAAGGTAAATAGTTCATAATAGTTTATATAATTCAGAACAGCAATTGCATAATGGTTGCGTGCTCTATTAAGTATAGTTACTGAACAACAATGCTTGGAAACTTCCAGATGAATAAATCAATTTAAAATAGATACTTCATTCATAACAGATACTTTGAAGTTCTTATTGCTTTTAATCCAACATTCTCCAATTTTATTCCTCTTCAAGATGTTAGTGATTTTTAAAAGTACATATTTTAAATATAGCAACGAATTTTCCATTCAACATAAGACTATGTGATACTTAACAACCATCTTTTTGACGTTCTTTCTATAAACTTTTAGGTAATCTTTGTGTTTCAGCCATTGATGCAGTGGAAAAATTAGTAATGACCATTCTTCTACTACATGGCTCTATGGATTAGGTAGCAGCCGCCAAAAGCCTCAGGTAGGATTTAGCCTATTGCTGAATATAAAAATATAGCCTAAGTAAAGTTCTATTTAATACTATTTAAAAAGAGGACAGAATCTAGAGATTTTTATGTTTATACGAAACAAAGATTGTTGACTTTCTTGGGCTATATCCACCATAACAAACCAATATAAGAACTTTAGGTTTTACTCAGATAATTTTTCAAAATTTATTTGCCACTATCACCTGAATATTTTATGGGTTACTATGCTGAATACTTTGAGGAATTAAAAAGAGGGTTTATAATGTAATCAATAAATCAAAACAAGTGATATGACAAACATGAATTCTTATTCTGCTAGTCTAAGAGCTTTGTCTTGATTTCATACCCTAGCAGAACTCTAACAGTGATGCATGTTTGTTAGTCTCCAAAAACTTCCACTACTACCTTCTATTCCCTCCTTTATGACTTTTTTCTATCAAATATTATTCCCTTTCTTATATCTTATATCTTATATCTTATATCACCCCATGTTACCTCAGCTACATTAACGTGGATGACAGTCAAATCACCCATATTACTATCCGTGAAATAAGTGAATCCCAGGCTACACGTACTTCCCTAATTCCATACCTGTTTCCAACCATTCTCTGGGTATATTTACCTGAGTGAGATTCAAATTCAGTATGTCCAATGTTTCTCCCAAATTTTCTCATTTTAGAACACCATTATGTTGAACCTATTACTGAGTCTATTCAACTCATCCTACAACATACTAAATGTCTCTACTTTGAACCTTATTTCTTTTTTAGTTCAACTTATTTAAACTAAAAAGTTTATTTAAAATGAAAACATAAAAACGGTTCTTTGAAAAGATAAACAAAATTGATAAGCGTTTGGCTAGGGTCACCAAGAAGAGAGGATTCAAAACCAGAAATGAAAGAGACATTACAACTTTTAACAAAAATACAAAAGATCATCAAAGACTATTATGAACTATTACATGACAAATTGGACAACCTAGAAGAAATGGATAAATTCCTAGAAACACAGAACTACCAAGACTGAATCAAGATGAAATAGAAAAATTTCCCAGACTGATTACTAAGTAGGGAGATTGCATCAGTAATCAAAAACCTCCCAACAAACAAAACATCAGGACCAGACAGCTTCACTGGTGAATTATATCAAACATTCAAAGAATTAATACCAATCCTTCTCAAACTTTTCCAGAAAACAGAAGAGGAGGGAACTCTTCCAAACTTTTTTTATTGGGCTAGTGTTACTCTGATATCAAAACTAGACAGTGATGCCACAATAAAATAAAATTACAGACCGCTATCTATAATGAATACAGATGCAAAAATCCTCAACAGAATACTAGCAAACTGAGTTAAACAATAGATTAAAAGGATCATACACCATGAATAAGTGGGTGTATTCCAGGGATGCAAGGATGGCTCAACATCCACAAATCTGTTAATATGATATATCACAATAACAAAATGAGGAAAAAGATCACGTGATCATCTCTTTGATGCAGGAGAAGCATTTGGCAAAGTCCAATATCCATTTATCATAAAAACTCTCAACAGAGCAGGTATAGAGGAAATGTACTTTGACATAATAAAAACCATACAGGACAAGCTCACAGCTAACATCGTACTCTACTGTGAAAAGCTGAAAGCTTTTCCTCTAAGATCAAGAACAAGACAAGGATGTCTACTCTTGCCATCTTTAGTCAACATAGTATTGGAAGTCCTAGTCAGAGCATTTAGGATAGAAAAATAAGTAAAGGTCATCCATTGGAAAGAAAGGAGTAAAATTGTCTTTGACCTTGTTTTTTCATCCAAACTACTTACATATTTCTCATTCTTTTTATAGCTCAGCTTTTTGAAAGAGTTTAAGTTTCTCTTCACTTTTTGCTTACTTCCAATCTGAATTTTGCTTCCCCCTCCCATTGAGGATGCTCCTGTGATCAACAATGACTTCCTGATTGCAGATACCAACACAATTTTCAGGCTTCCTACTATTTAATATTTTTACAGCTCTTGGGTAATGTTTATCTTCTTGAACCTCACCTCTTTGGATTTCTAAGTCATCACTCCCTCTTATTTCCCTTAATTCTCCTTTACTGATGTCTGTTACTACAATGATCTACTAAGTGTTCATGTTCCCCAAGATTCTATTCCTAGAGTTAATTTCTCCACACCACCACCTCCCATCCCCATGTTACCTCAGCTACATTAACGTGGATGACAGTCAAATCACCCATATTACTATCCGTGAAATAAGTGAATCCCAGGCTACACGTACTTCCCTAATTCCATACCTGTTTCCAACCATTCTCTGGGTATATTTACCTGAGTGAGATTCAAATTCAGTATGTCCAATGTTTCTCCCAAATTTTCTCATTTTAGAACACCATTATGTTGAACCTATTACTCAGTATGTAAAACTTTAGATTCCTTTTGAATTCCTCACTTTCCCTTTATATTTAGCCTAAATCCAATTGATCACCAAGTCGAGTGTGCTTTGTCTCATAAACATTTTTCAAAACCATTTTTCTGTATCCCATTCCCATTTTAATAGTTCACATCCTTAACATCTCTTGCCTATACTAATGTTGTAGCTAACTGACACCCTGCATTCACTCTCTCCTTACTCCAATCCAGCATCTACATTGCCTCTAGTGTTAGAGTTGAACTGTCTTGAAATCCAGATAGTTAGATACTATTACAGATGAGGAAATTAACTCACAGGTAAGGTCTTACACTTAGTTAACTGGGAAATTAAAAGTAAAATCCATGCAGTCTGGCCCAGAAGCTATGTTCTTCAAAACTGCACCTATTCTTTCATAAAAAATAAAATACAGCTTATGCTCTTTATAGTGATAGTCTGTGCTTCTCATAATATAATATAAAATATTTATAAGTGTAGAAAAAAAAGATAGTCTACCGTATACATATGATTGAAGCCTAAGTAAATGTTGTTTAAAATTTTCTAGGTGACCATGCAGGAAATATATAAAAAGTCGTAAGAAGACCAAATAGCCAATCTGTCAAAAGAAAAAGAAAAAAGCATTTCTGTATTACATCAATAAATGCTTAAAAAACATAGGAAAACAAACCATTTTATTATTACATTCACTTTGGATGAAACAATTTCAAACACTTGAGATTATATGCTTTTGAATAACTTTAAAACATTTATATCAAGATTGAAATACTGCTTCAGCAAAAAAACTTTTATAAATCATCTCTACATTACATATACTGACTAGTACTGAATGCTCTTTTGTTCTACATCCTTTGAAAAGTATCTTTCAAACTGCAGTAATGCCCCTTAAGTGAGTCATGAAATCAATTGAGAGGGGATTTTTAAGTAAAATAAAAGAAGAGAAAACTATCAAAGTACATTGCATAATTCCTTGTTTCAGTATATAAATGAGATGTATAGTATGTGTGCTGGATTCCAATGCAAGAGATTTCTTCCTCTGGGTCTCAAATGGTTTGAAAAATACTGCTTTAGATAGTTTTGAGAAATGTTCTTCTTTTTCATAGTATGCTGTACTAAGATTCGCATTTCCTTATGAAAAAAATTAAGTCATTACTAACTAAACACGGTAATAACTGCTGTCAAGTTTCATGTATAGCTAAAACTATTAGTTTTACATAGACTACAAAAAATTAGTGCATCAGCAAAAATAGATGATATGCAAGCTTCCATAAAAAATGAGAAAAAAATCTCCATAAACTAAAGAAATAAATGGAACACAAGTGTCTAAGTTCCACCTAATCATAAGATAATGGAGAACCAAATAACAATAACTATCCCGATATCACTATCAAGATATATGTACATCTAAATCCTCTTAACAGTGATGAAGGGAATTATTAGCTCTACATATTAAAAAAAAGATGATTCTACCAAGTCTCAATTATTCACCTAAGACTATTAACCAAATAAGCCGCATTATTGGACACTGAACCCAGGACTGTGTATATTGCACCAAAAGTCATGAATTTTCTATTATAGCAGTGATTTTCAAATATTTTTACCACAAACTCCAGTAAAACAAATTGAGAATGCAATGCCAATATTTGTAAATGTATTCATAAATTATAAACATGTGCCATATATAGACTTAAAAAATAAAGTGAAACATTCATAAGGCATGCAGACTACTTTGCTGTACTACTGCGCTCCTCTAAGAGGTTGAAGTTAGATAAGAAGGAAGTGGAGATTGACAGGCTATTTAAAAGAACACCACAGTACCCTAAGTGAGAGTATTAAAATCAGAAATACCCATTGTTACAGACAATGAGTGAAAAAGTCAGAAGGGGAATAATTTTGGATTTTGCAAAAAAGGGATTAGAGGTGGATATTGAAAGGAATGTTAATGTTTGAAGTTATTGTGGGACAAAACAGCAAAACACATGAAAAATCATCAGTTGAATTATCACTGATTTATACCTCAATCTGGTCATGAGTTCCACTTGACCCAGAGGCTAAACCTAGTTACAACTTTTCTTGGAAAAATAGTTTAAAAAGCTTCATCTGTAATATTCTGAAAAGCCAGATTTTTGTTGAAAATTCTACCTTTCTTTATCTCTAAGGGGTTCTGGGACTTTCTGTGCATCTCTCCTCATGTCTCATTTTTGTACATATTCTCTCTGCAGCTTGACAACTCAAGCTTTGCCTCCTAGACTGAAACTCTGCTTGTCAATTTCTCTTTCTCTGCTCTGCCATCTTTCCTTTCTTTATTCTTTACCCACCTTCATCCTTCTCTTTCTATTTCTTCTCTTCATTTCCTTAACTCTGCTATCTGTGAAACAGAAATGCTGAAAAGTATTTATTATATGTTATATTTTAATAGTTGGTTGTGTGTTCCATGTTCTTCTCTACAAACTGGAAGAACACTGTTTATATTTCTATCTAAAATATACACAAAACTACTGAGGCTGGTATTGTATTCTCTACACTTCAGTAAGTAAACTTTAATAGGTAAAAAGATTCTATACTCAAAGGTGAATAACAAGAAAAAATGCATACAAAATCTGAAAGTAAACAATATTAGGGAACCAGATTATTTCTGGCTCTTCCCAGCCTGAGCTATGTATGACTTTGTCAAAGGAGGAACAGTATGGCTGCATATGAAGGTGTGTGATATCTCCTTGGTAATATCCTTCCATATAGCATTTCTGTTGAAAAGATCTAAAAGGAAGTTTCCAACTAACTGGCAGATATATAATGAAAATTCTACATAGGCAAGGAGGATAACCAACGCATGGCTGCTTGCCTTAAATGGCTTCTTGCCCAAAGTCAAAGGTAATTATAGAGCATACTTATTTCACTAGTTAATTTATATGATCTAAAACAGTAAAGAACAAGCTTTAAGATTAGTAAATCTGAGAGCCAAGGTGAATGTGTAGCACCATGGCTGAGAGTTCACTGGACTGAAGACTGTCAAAACCACCTCTACTGAGACCCTAGGTTATTCACTTGAATTCTCTATGCTACAGTCCTCAAAATGGTGGATAATAATAGCACCTATCTTTTAGGATTGTTGTAAAGATTAAATAAATTAATATGTCTAATACATCTAAATCATTTATCACTGTGCAAGGCACATAATTAAGTGTTCAGTGTTTGAAGCTGCAGTATGAGTCTGTGCAAACTCTTTAAACTTTAAGATGAGAAGAGATAGAGATCTTTTTAAAATTAAATGACATGATTTATAAGCAGTGGGTGCAATGGCTGAAACTTTATTTTATAGCCATTTTTATTGCTGGCAGAAATATAAAAGCCAAGAAGTGGAAAAGGACACTAAAGGGGATGAGAAAGAAATGAAAGATAATACAAACTTGCTTTACAATTTTCCATTCCATTCTTTTTCCAGTACAAAAGATATCTAAATTTTGTATCTGCATCACAGATAGATACCTTTAAAAATCTCTACAATAATTATATAAATATTTTTTCTATATCACCATAATGGACACTTTGGGAAATGCAGAAAAAATAATCAAGAAACAGTCATCATAATCTGACCACCCAAACAGCCATTGGTAACAACTTGTCTTTTTTTCCTCCAGTCCTTCTTCTATGCAAACCCTCAGTTCTTCGCAAGTTCAGTTTCTATGATGTGCTTTCATTCTGCCTGTTCTTCATAAGTCTTTTACTCACAGATGTATCATAGAGGATCTAGGACTGATTTCTAAGGACTGAAATACACTATCTTACAAACATGCCCTGGCTGACTAATGATTATTTTCAAACTTAGTTTCTAAAAGTTCATAATCAAAATTGAATAAGAAAAAAACATATTTTGGGAAATAATACCATACTTCATTTCAATTGTTTTATATATGTACACACATATACAACATATATAAAACTATATATAAAAATATACACACATACATATATTCTTAAAACATATATATATATATGCTAAAAATATACCCTTAAAGAAATTCTTCTTTTAGCATTTCTTTTCTTTCTTTGCAGTAAAACCAACAGGTAAGCGAAATTTCTTTGACCAATAACAAATTTGCAGCAGGCCCAAAGTCAGTAAAAGGAGGGACATAATAAAGATCAGAGAAGGAATAAATAAAATTGAGAAGAATAAAACAATAGAAATAATTAATGAAAGCAGGAGTTGGTTCTTCCAGAAAATAAACAAAATAGATAACCCTCTAGCCAGACTTATCAAGAAAAAAAGAGAGTCTACACACATAAACAGAATCAAAAATGAGAAAGGAAATCACTACAGACACCACAGAAATACAAAGAATTATGAGAGAATACTATGAAAAATTATATGCTAACATCCTGGATAACCTAGAAGAAATGGACAACTTTCGAGAAAAATGCAATCTTCCAAGGCTGATCCAGAAAGAAACAGAAAATCTGAATAGACCAATTACAAGCAAGGAAACCGAACTGGTAATCAAAAAACTACCTAAGAAAAAAACTCCTGGATCAGATGGTTTCATCGCTGAACTTTATCAAACATTTAGTGAAGACCTAATACCCATCCTTCTTAAAGTTTTCCAAAAAGTAGAAGAAGAGGGAATACTCCCAAACTCATTCTATGAGGCCAACATCACTCTAATACCAAAACCAGGCAAAGACACCACAAAAAAAGAAAATTACAGACTAATATCCCTGATGAGCATAGAAGCAAAAGTCCTCAACAAAATATTAGCAAACTGAATTCAAAAATACTTCAAGAAAATCATATATCATGATCAAGTGGGATTCATCCCAGGGATGCAAGGATGTTAAAATATTCAAAAATCCATCAACATCATACATCACATCAATCAAAAGAACAAAAATCAAATGATCATTCTAATAGATATTTAAAAAGCATTTGAGAAAATTCAACATCCATTCATGATAAAAACTCTCAACAAAATGGGTATAGAGGGCAAGTACCTCAACATAATAAAGGCCATATATGACAAACCCACAGCCAACATCATATTTAACAGTAAAACGCTTCAGGATTGGGGAACAAGACAAGAATGCCCACTCTCCCCACTTTTATTCAACATAGTACAGAAGGTCCTAGCCACAGCAATCAGACAATGCAAAGAAACAAAAGGTATTCAGATTGGTAAGGAAGAAGTTAAACTGTCACTGTTTACAGAAGACATGATGCTGTACATAAAAAAACCTAAAGAATCCACTCCAAAACTACTAGAACTAATACTGAATTCAACAAAGTTGCTGGATACAAAATTATTTCACAGGAATCTTTTGCATTCCTATATACTAACAATGAACTAGCAGAAAGAGAAATCAGGAAAACAATTCTATTTACAATTGCATCTAAAAGAATAAAATACCTAAGAATAAAATTAACCAAGGAAGTGAAAGACCTATACCCTGAAAACTATAAGACACTGATGAGAGAAATTTAAAAGGACACCAATAAATGGAAATACATCCCATGCTCATATATGAGAAGAATTAATATTGTCAAAATGGCCATCCTGCCTAAAGCAGCTTACAGATTCAAAGCAATCCCTAACAAAATACCAACAGCATTATTCAATGAACTAGAACACATGGTTCTAAAATTCATATGGAACCAAAAAAGACCCCAAATAGCCAAAGCAATCCTGAGAAGGAAGAATAAAACTGGAGAGATTACATTCCCTGACTTCAGGCTCTACTACAAAGCCACAGTAATCTGCTGGCACAAGAACAGACCCATAGATCAATGGAATAGTACAGGGAGCCCAGATATAAACCCACACAAATATGGCCAATTAATATATGATAAAGGAGCCATGGACATACAATGGGGAAATGACAGCCTCTTCAACAACTGGTGTTGGCAAAACTGGACAGCTGCATGTAAGAGAATGAAACTGGATTATTGTCTAACCCCATACACAAAAGTAAACTCAAAATGGATCAAAGACCTGAATGTAAGTCATGAAACTATGCAACTCTTAGAAGAAAATATAGGCAATACCCTCCAGAATATAAACATGAGCAACTTTTTCATGAACATATTTCCTCAGGCAAGGGAAACAAAAGCAAAAATGAATAAGTGGGACTACATCAAACTAAAAAGCTTCTGTACAGCAAAGGACACCATCAACAGAACAAAAAGGCATCCTAGAATACAGGAGAATATATTCGCAAACTACATATCTGATGAGGAGTTAACATCCAAAATATATATAAAGAACTCACATACCCAACGAGCAAATAACCCTACTAAAAAAGGGGCAGAGGATCTGAATAGAAAGTTCTCCAAAGAAGAAATTCAAATGGCCAACAGGCACTTGAAAAGATGCTCTGTATTGCTAATCATCAGGGAAATGCAAATTAAAACCACAATGAGATATCACCTCACACCAGTTAGGATGGCCAACATCCAAAAGACAAGGAACAACAAATACTGGCAAGGATGCTGAGAAAGGGGAACCCTTTTACGCTGTTGGTAGGAATGTAAACTAGTTCAACCATTGTGGAAAGTAGTATGGAGGTTCCTCAAAAAACTAAAAATAGAAATACCATTTGACTCACTAATTCCACTCCTAGGAATTTACCCAAAGAAAACAAGATCCAGATACAGAAAGACATATGCACCCCTATGTTTATAGCAACACTATTTACAATAGCCAAGAAATGGAAGCAACCTAAGTGTCCATCAGTAGATGAATGGATAAAGAAGATGTGGTACATATACACAATGGAATATTATTTGCCCATAAGAAGGAAACAAATCCTACCATTTGCAACAACACAAATGGAGCTAGAGCATATTATGCTCAGTGAAATAAGCCAGGAGGAGAAAGATAAGTACTAAGTGATTTCCCTCATTTGTGGTGTATAACAACAAAGCAAGACTGAAATGACAAAACAGCAGCAGACTCACAGACTCCAAAAAGGGACTAGCAGTTAAGAAAGGAAAAGAGGGTGGGGAGGGTGGATGGGGAGGGAGGCAGAAAGGGATTAAGGGGTATTGTCATTAGCACACAGAATGTAGGGGGTGCACGGGGAAGGCAGTATAGCACAGAGAAGACAAGTAGTGAGTCTATAGCATCTTACTATGCTGATGGACAGTGACTGCAATGGGGTTTGTGGCAGGGACTTGATAATATGGGTGAATGTAGTAACCACAAAGTTGCTCATGTGAAACCTTCATAAGATTGTATATCAATGATACCTTAATAAAAAGAAACAAATTTTGCAGCAGGCAACCATGATCCTCACAGGAAGTAGAACCACATGACATAAAATACAAGCTACATGAAGATAGCTTCCCAAATGGTGGCTCTATCATGACATAGATTACTGAGAGAACAATTCATCTCAAATTGGTCAACCACTTGAGGTTACCTATCAGCATTTTTAAGTGGAAAAGCAGCATTTAAAATTCCTTAAAACAGAGAGCAGAAAAGCTATATACACTCAAGCATAAGTATAAACTTAATTTTTAGTTAATTATTATTTTCTTAAATAGTTGGTGAAATCGTTTTTCTATCTCTATTTGGATGTCAAGCAAATGCATTATTCACCTTCAGACAGGATTATAATCAATTATACACAAGAGAATATTCCATAATAAAACCAAATGGCCTCTTTAGACCCTAAAACATATGTCATATGGCTACATGTAGTAAGTATAGCAATTAAAAACATTAAAAATATTTTAACACATACCTTTGCTAGCTTTATTTCAACTGTATATAAGTATGTCTTTAGGAATGCATCACAATAGAGTCTATATAAAACTGATTCCGCAACAAAAAATAAGGCAGGCAGATGATCATAATCAAAGGAAGCATGGTCCAGGGAAGCATAAAGCATATTTAAAGCTTCTGAAAAATGAATAAGTAGAAACTGCATAATTTATAAATTACATTATTTTTCTATATGCTACAATTAAGTCTTATAATCAACTATTTACTCAGTCACCAAGACCAGATTGTAATTTCAAAAATTTACAATTTGATATTTGATACCCCTCCCATCAAGGAGTGAAGTCTATGCCCCCTTCTCCTAAAGCCTGAGCAGGCTTTGTGACTGCTTCAAACAAATATAGCAGAAGTGACACTGCATGACTTCCAAGGCTAGATCACAAAAGTCAATACAGTTGCCACCTGGATCTCTTTCTCAAGATGCCAGCTTTGGAACCCTAATCTTCCATGTAGAAAATCCAACTGCTACTCAAAAGTCACTAAGCCGGAGAGACTACAGCGATAGAGAAAGACAGAGATAAAGATAATGATAGAGACAGAGACAGAGAAATCCCCAAGGAGTTCCATCTGTTCCAACACAAGACAGATCAGCAGGTCACACACTTAACAGTGTGGAAATGGGACAGAGCTGGATGACAAGACAGTGCTAAAGATAAGTGCTATAAAAGAAAAGAGTGGAAGACTGGAAAGTCAAGGCAGAGGACACAGGGCCTACTGGAGCAGAATGAGGCAGAATTTAGAGCTAAGGCCCTAGGTATTGCACCTCAAGTCATTACAAAGATTTGAGGGGCTGTTATGTAAGTAGCTGAGGAAGAACAGCAAATGCAAGGACTTGAGGAAGGAAAATCTCTGACACATTCAACGGAGACTCTGTGCTCCAGGGTGGCTGGGGCATAAAGAACAAGGAGGGGAGGCAGTCAGGAGCCGGATCACAGAGCCTTGTAGGATGTAAGGTGGAGTCGGTGCTGCTCCTTTTAAGTGAAATCAGAAGGCACTGGAAATGATTTAAGTTTTAGCATGGTCACTGACTCTGTGGGAAGTCTACTTCAGAATGAGGAACAGACAAAAGTACAGGCAGGACATGGATTAGAATGGTATTTCAGTGGAGAGCCAGTAAAAAATTATATTTAGGGATTTTATTTGGAGTAAATGAGTGAACTTTTGGCTGTGTGTCACAAAAACTCAGTGAAGTGTCTTCAAAATCAGTATGTTCATTATTTCACAAGATGAGAGTTGGACAGGCTGCAGTACAGACTGACATCACTGCCCTCTGGGTGCGTATGTCTTTCCTCTTCTGGTTTCCTTGATGTACACGGTGACTCTGATGGTCACACGAGCTTCAGGCATCTTCTTCCTACCAAGCCTTTTAGAGAGGAATCAAGAGACGGGTGGGGAAGGAAGGGGTGCTTTCTTCCTAGGCATACCTTTTTCAAAAGCAGTTCAACAAAAAGGACTTCAAACAAACCTATCTTTACATCTCTTGGTCAGGACCAGCTAATGTGACCACCCCTCATCTAATCACTGATGAGTAAAAGGCAATTGCCGTGATAGATTTAGATCCACCATGATTCACCACCTGGCACTAGAAAGGGCCAGTCCCCTTCTGAATCACATGACTGCAGGATACGTGAACAAAACTGAGGTTTAATGGACAAAGAGCAAATGGCTGCTGGTTGCTGGGAAGCCAAGACTGTTTACTTCAATATCATTTAAACATTTTATAGAAGGCAGGCTGTGGATAACACTGTGATGAAGTGCCATAAAAGCAAGTTAAATACAAAATCATTCTTACTATTCCTATTGCTTTAAAGCTCCCAGGTAGCACTACAACACCCAGTTTACATGCAGATAAACTCAACGACCTCATATGACTGACATTCTAAAACTCATTTGAAAAGGCATACACATAAAATTTAGGATTATGACAGAGGAATTGTACTTCCTTAGAAATAAGGTTTTTTAATTTCCTTTTTAGATTGGCTAGAGGATGGTTTGAAAGGAGACATATAAATGAGAAGTGAGAAATGCAAAGGTAATGAATAAAATGGTTGTTTGAAACAAGTGAAACAAGTGAAAAACAAATGGCCATTTAGTTAATGTTTCATGAGTAAAAATTATAAAATGCAGAAACAAGTTTCACTGCAGTATAATGTCTATTGTAATTGAAAATCACTAAGTGACATTTTATATCACTTTTTAATTAGTTGCTAATTTTAGAAAAAAGCAATAAAGACTATGCTAAGTGAAAGTTTTTAAAACAATTTTGTAATTAAAAAGTGGAGCAGTCAAATTCATGAATTAAAAATTACAAAAGGAACTTTCATAATGAAACATTATTAGATATTTCAATAGAGAAAGGCATATTTTCCTTGGCTCCCACAAAATTTCTAAATATTCTAATTCTCAAATTATGTCTTCACTGATGATGTAGAAAACACGTAGAGTTAATAAGAAGAGCTTAGTTAGAGCACATACCATCTTGGATTTCTCCTTTGCATTGAGCCAAATATACTACTTCAGTCCATGCTGTAGGAAGATGTACGTGCTTCCCGGAGCCTAAGGTTTTGAGACCCAATTTTCTCTGTTATGGGGAAGCATGAAAGAGGCAAACCAAAATGTCCATTTTTTAAAAGACTAATTAATTTTTGGTTTGATATTTAAAGCTTATTTAATTATAAGTTTTAACTTTAATTCACAATATTTTAACTATGCTTACTTATAATCAAAGAAAGATGTATTATTTTTTCTTTCAATATTTTGAACATGTAATCATCCACTAACTAGGAGAGAACAATCACAATACTAAGTATTCAAACAGTGTACTATTACCTTATATCTGAGAATAATTTATTATTTAGATTACCCCTTAATTATCTTCTGAAAGTCATTCTATAAGGCTGATGTTCTATGGCGAGTACTGCATAAAACTTTATATTTTCACTTTTATTATTTTTAATTTTTAACATTTTATGTAAATTATATTGGTGTTCAAATGCAGAGAATGGTGTTAAAATTCTGAGTAATATCATTCATTATTTGCTGAAAGTAATTCTCATTATTTATTTTCTAGGACTTACTTCTGTCTCATTTCCCTACCACAAGATGTATCTCTGGCTTTAGAAGGAAAAGTATATTGAAGAAATGTGATTCAACTGAAATTAGTGTGATGACAATTTGCTGGAAGACTTCGGCTACTTCACTGTGGATGGACCAAAGTTAATGAACGCGAAGGAGATAGCAAGATTGCTCCTTTTCTCCTAATGTGCCCACTCCTAGGGCTGTCTCAGGGATCAGCTGGCCAATTTGGAGAGAAGTTCACGGATGAATGTACCTGCTGGCACCTATCAGCACGCATACTTATCAAAAGTATATTCCTTCTTCTATTCAAATTTTTTCACGGATTTAAAAAAAATTTAAATGTATGAGCAACCGTGAACCAAAATATTGGGAAATCACCACCACCACAACAGAAAAGCTTAATTTATGCTCCAGTTTTGTGCAACTTTTATTTCATGAATTACTCGGTATTAAAGCAAAATCATATGTACATTATTTCTCTGCCAAACTTAAACACACTAATGTAGGAAAGGCAAAACAAGGGCTTATTTCACTTTCTGTTCTGTTTTGATATGTCTAAAAATGTGGGAATTAATGGCATTCTCCTAAAGAACATATTTTTTACAAGTGTGTAGTTTGGTGAATAATTTGTTAGAGAAAGAACAGAGTATGCTGTACATGTACAATGAGCTTTCTTTCCTCTTTGGGATATCTCACATCCCAGTTAACTTGTTTTTAGGAAAAAATGGAATTTTCATAATCAAAATTTTACTTTCCAGTCATAGATATTTTGTCATGGGCTCTTGAACTAGTGCCGACAGCTATATTCCCCAATAATTTATGGAGAATCTTTACCCAAAAAGCCTTTTAACATTGAATCATTTCACTATAATCTTTAACTTTAATTTGCATTAATATTTTAACTGTATCTACTTATAATCAAAGAAAGGTGTATTTTTATTTTTTCCTTCAATATTTGAACATGTAACCATCCACCAACTAGAAGAGAAAGTTTACAGTATAAGTAATCAAGTAGTGTAGTATTAATTACCTTACATCTGAGAATGTTTTTTCTAGCTAGGTCCAATAATTTTTCCTCCTCTTTTGGATTTTTTGTTTGGTTGAATCTCAAGATGAATTCTTTTGTGATTGAAAATGATGGCCTAAACCAAAATAAATTCAGTAATTTTAACTATCAGTTACAAATTCTATTTAGTCAATTTCCAGTGGCTAAGTGTAGCTGTTTTCTAAAACAATTACTTTACCTTAATAAGAATGTTTCACACACACAAAATCAATAAAATAAAAAAAGTAAATGTACACATCTCCTGTATTGATCTTATCATACTGTTGGATTGAGAAACATAATTTTCATGATGTCATAGAACTCTGTAGCCTCTGAAAAAAAGTTTCTGAAATGGTTGCGAAAGTCACGTTGGTACATGCCTTCTTCATAGGTAATATCCAGCACACGCTACTTTAATTATGTTGAACATGGATTTATCTCCTCACATATGCCACTGTTGGTTCAATCCAAGCTAAACCTCTATTCCCTCCATGCAAGTGGATTCAGTCCAACTGCGGCTAGAGTAAAGGGAGCAGGGGAGAAAAGATGTATGTAGTAAAGCCAGAAACGTGACAAGTGTCACTCTGGATGAGATGGAAGCTATTGCAGGGTTTTAATAAGACAAGCAATATGAGTTCACCTAAGTTTGAACAGGATCATGCTGATGCTGTGTCCAGCGCTGGTGTGGGGATGTGGGATGTAGCAGGGGAGGGACACACATATGCCTGGGTGAGAGGTAATGGGGGCTTGATCAGGATTACAGCAATATAAGTATAAAGAGTAAAGATTTATATCTAAATCTATTCTAAATAATAAAGAGTATTTTAAAAAGTAGTGTTAACAGACAAGGAATATAAGGTAAAAAACAAAACAAAACACACTTCCAGATAGAGTGTATCAGTCATTTATTAATTTATTGAATCATTCTGTATTAGTTGAGCACCCACTGTGAATCAAGCACACTTCTAGGCAAGAGGACATAAAACAGAAGTGAATCTAAAACTGATGTGCAGTCCCTTTCCTCGTGGAATGTATACTCTGTTGGCGGAGAATAGATGCACAATAAAAACATGAAAATAAATAAGTGAATAAGATTTCTGGAGCAGTAAGTACTGTGAAGACAGTGCAGAAGAGAGCATCAGGGAAACACGCTACTTTGCATCAAGCAAACAGGTTAGATTTCGAGAGAGAGACCTCTGAGAGGAGAAAGAGGAGAAGTAAAAGACAAAGGAGAAACTGATGATAAGATTAGGTGGCCAGGACCAGGCCTCACAGGCTATTTAGAGGAGAGGTAGACACCCCACAGACACACCAAACACATACACAATATCCAGGGTTTCAAATACAGACTTAAAAATACATCTTCTAAAATTAGATACTTTATCTCAGCATATAGGCTCTGAGAAAAATACATCTATATCATTTTATTTCTAAAGCAAAATAAAATTCAGGATGAAATATCTAATTAAATTTCTATGCTTAAAATATATTTTTAGAATAATTTGTTTCATCAATTATTTTTCAATATGAATTGTGACCTGTAATGAATCATTGAGAATATGGAAAGCTCATGCTTTTCAGCTTTCTATAGAGATAGAGTCCCTTAATTGGTGCCCCACAGCTCATGTCAATAAATATTTAATGGGAAATAAATATAACTATTTTAACCATTTCTAGCCTATCACAAATGAACTGAGGTTGTTATACAAGTTATTATTTAATAATACACAAAACACATGAGGAGAAGCAACAGGCCACTTGAAAGAGAGCAAATACAGGCATTTGAAAGAAAGTACAGTTAGCTTCACACATTCCAAAATCTTCAAACATAAATGTAATCCACTATAATTGTAAAAGAACAGTCTGTGGAACAGGTAGTGAATAAAGACCATGATAATTTTACATATAAAAATATATATACTAAATTCTCGTGATTGCATGCATACCCAATCCAAACTGACTGTTTACCTTATCTTTAAATTCACAAATTTTTTAAGCTAATCATTCATTAGTTCAGTAAATATTGAAGGTAAGCCTCTTGCATACAGTATACTTCACTAGACACAATAGGGGTTAGAAGAGCAGTCAGGTTTGGTCCCAGAAACTTTCCAGTCTAGGAGGCAAGTGAGGTAACATAAAGGAGAAATACTAAAATAGGAAATGAAAGCCTGTGGGATTTCAGTAAAGATCATGATTCTAATCCTTCCTGGTCCTATAATCTTTACTTAAACAATCTGTGTGACCTAAAATTTTCCATCTGTGGAATTTTGTAAATTCTTGTAAAATTCTGAAAAGCACTAAATCAGAACACACAGTCAAGTTCTTGGCATATATTCAGTGCCAGATAACTGTTAGTTATTAGCATCACTGTTTCTGTTTAAAGATTCAGGAAGAGTTTCTCTGCAGAAATGGCACTTGAGCTGTACCTTGAAGTACAGAGAGGAATTGGAATGTGACAGAACACCACTTGTCCTTTCAAAATCCTTTCTCTGCTTTTTCCTGAACCTGATCACCCAGCTAGTACCTGGGTTTCCCAGTCTTCCTGGAAGCTGGGTAGGGCCACATGGCCAAGCCAGGGGGATGTGAGCAGATGTAATATATGTAAGATTTAGGTTACTTTAATTTAAAGATGTATCACTTTCCCTAGAATGATAGATTTTTCTCCTTCCAGTGGACTGGAACACAAATATAGTGCTGAAATCAGCTTTGTAGGCAGCTAAGTACAACACCCAGTGAGAAAATGAGGGCCCCTCACTCACCCCAAAAGCAGAGCTATCCTATCAGCCTAGACCCACTAAATTTACATGGCAGACAAATACACCTCTATCTTACTAAAGCCGCTGAAAATTACAGGTCTTTTTTTATAGTTGCTTCAAATTTACCCTAACTTAGGTAACTGCATTGTCTAGTACACATAAGAACAAAGAAAAAACTGAAGAATTTTAACCTACTGTAAAGTGACAGAATGCTTAAAATCAAGGTAGAAAATGAAGATGGAAATGCTAGGTTGAGAACAAACGTAATTGGCATTGAATGGCAGTCTGTGGCAGAGACTTATATCTGCCTACATCAGTGTCTATTCTTCTCATTCTCTTACTAAAAATTTGTCTTTTGCAGTTAGGTATGCCCACATGCCTAGGGTTCAGCCAGTAAAATGTAAGTAAAATTCAGAGAGTAGTTCTGGGAAGTCTCCTAAAAAAGGACACTGCCCTTCTTCTGCCTTTCCTCTATTCTGCTTAATGAAGCATGACTCTGATAGCTGGAGCTTCAGCAGCCATGATGAACCATGAGATGGTCTTCAGTGTAGGCCATGTGCAGCAGGGCAACTAGATAGGCGGAATCTAGGCCCCAGATCCCCATACCAACTCTGCAATGACTACAGTCAGAGAAATAAACTTTTTGTTTAAGTGCCATGGTTATTTTAGATTTTCTTAGTTGTAGGGGACACTCATTCTATATTATACATAGACTTTTGAATTTTATTGATAAGTAAGAGAGAATTATTGTGCAGAAGAGTGATGAGATTACAGCTTTAGTTTAGGATAGCTAAACTGAAAGTCATATGTGGAATGGTTTAGAGAAGTGACTGTTGATGAACAGTCGGCCAGTTATTTCAACAATTTAGGTAAGAAGTAATAAAGGTTTGAACTGCAGTTTGGGCAATAAAAATGAGCAAGAATAAATGAATGTGAGAGGTTGGGTGGAGGCTAAATCAGTAGAGCTTGATGACTAATAGGATGTAAGAAAAGAAATTATGAGAGTGGATATGCATATAATCTCAAGGTTTTGAGCCCACATGATTAATAGTAACAAGCTGACATCATGACAATTAGATGGAGGAATTTGGGCAGAGGACCTGGGCCATTCTGGACGACCAACTGTGATTTATCTGTGAGACATCTAAGTGGAGAGGTCTAAAATCCAAATGGATTTGTGAGGCAGGTATTAGGAAGTAGATAAAGCATGGAAATAAAAGATTTCAGATTCATCTACATATCAATGATACTCAAAGCCATGAAATTTCAAGAGAAAGAACACAGAAAAAAAAGAAGAGAGAACTTTACACAAATCCCACGTTAAGAAGCAAAAGGGAATGAAGAAACAGTAAATATGATAAAAGGAGATTCACAAAAGTACTACAATGGAATTCAAATATGTGTACAATTGGGGGTAAAAACTGCTTCTCTGAGAATTGTTCACTACTCACAGTCTGCTGAACCAGTGGGTCTAACTTCTGTATTAGTACCATATGACTCCACACCCACACCCATCACTGTAGCTGACTGGGTCATAGTGGACATCTGACTCAAGCTGAGCCAATCTAATCCTCTCTCCAAGGGTTTTAGATAATTAGCTGATACTTTAATTAGTTGATGTTAGAGCTGAAAGGTCATGTAGAGCCAAAAGGTGGCTTTTGCTGAGATGTCATGCAAGATGACGAAGCACTCCAGAGCAGAAAGCTACTTGTTCACCATGGGAGCCCCCAGTCAAGGTATGTTGGATGATTTACTGATGTTTAGCCAGAGGCCCTATCCTTTGGAATTTATAGTCAAATGTAGGTGCAGGCCATATCTGTCAAGTTGACCATTTTATCTTCTCTCAGTTAGAGAAAATAGTACTGAATGAATGAATTCAGTAGGCCTGGCTATACCTTCTTCTCTTAGGTTACACAAGACTTATATCCTTCCATTATATCCTTCCATTATCTTTTTCTTTGCTTTTCTTTGCTTCCATATCCAACCCTTATATCCTTCCATTATCTTTTTCTTTGCTTGAGTTAATTCAATTATGTGCCCATTCCATGCAAATAAGCAATCCTAGACTGAGATGTCAAAGAAGAATACAATGAAGATGAAGACTATGACCAAAAATGCACACCCGCAGAAATATATAAAGTTAATATTTAGAAAGTCAGTGGAGATCTTTAAGAGAATAGTTTCACTACTGAATCATTAATACAGAGTTTAGTTTAGGGATAAGAAAAATTCTGATGTCTGGAAACATTCCCCAAAACATAAGCACACAGACCTTCTAAGGTCTTCATGATTATTGCCTGTATTGGCCATAAACATTGTACAGAGTCGCCAATTTATGTGACACATGACTGACTTCCATGGCCCAAACACTGAGTTGCCTGTCCCCTTCCACATGTGGAGTAGCCAAGAGCTGGATGACATAACTAGAAGTATGGATGAAGTAGTATAAATGGGGTATATCTTGACCAAACAAAATGTAGACAGGAGGGAAGAGACAAGAATAACCCTGCTCATTTCTCCATTCTAAGGTTTACCAGGAGATGTAACTTCGTGTAACTTGTCTTGATAAGTCCCATATGTCAAGTACAGACATGTCTCTGCTCTATCTGTGGCAAGTTCTGATTTAGTGCCCCAAGTGGGAATATACCAAGGTTTCTTACCTCATTTTCCATTTTTTCCCACCTTCACTGAAGTGCCTTGAATACCTCAAATAAAGTATTGGAATCTTAATCCTCTTCTCATATTATGCCTCTAGAGACTTGGGCCAAGACAGTGGTATAAGCCCACATATAAGAGGATTGTGGTTTCTAAGATCTTGTAAAACTTTCAGACTACATTGTACAGATATTCTCATCAGTAGCTACTGATCTCTCATTTGGGGTAATATATCCTAAAGGAAACTACATTGTAATATATAATTGAATGTTTTGATCCTCTTTATAGCCTTCTAGCTAGTAAATAACCATATTTTTAGCTAAATCATCTGTAGCCAATCTAAATGCTACAAATACAGATGTCTCAGGCTAAAATGAACAGACCTGACTGCAAAGTCTTAACCATTGGATTTTCACTTAATGCATATAATAACTCAGATAAATGATAAACAAAGACTATTGACTGAATAATCAAATGATGAACATATAAATAGGAAAAGTTCCTTCTTGCTGCTAACACACACAGCCCACACTACAGAGCTATACTGTATTGTAAATGTATACATATCAAAATCAATAGTATTATATAGAATATTTAGAGCAGATATTTGTAGGATATGTTTTACTAAACAAGTGTTACATTCATTAAAAGGAAAAATTTCAGGCTTATTAACATTTCTGGAAGCTTTGAAGACTATAGCTTCCCAGATATAAAAAGCACTCAAGCAGCTTCTGTAAGGGATATAAAGTAATCTAATAGCTTGGCTAAATCTTCCTAATACAAGACTACAATTCCCTTTTAACTTTTTCCAGTCAGTTAACATAAATGCATATATTTGATGTAAATCTTCAAAATCTTTTAGTCTTTCCCATCTCTGAGATGAAATAGAAAAGGCAAAACAGACTATATACAATAAAATAATCTTAGTCATAAAAGAAAATAGTGACAAAATATCTCACTCTGAACCAGTAATCCATTGAAAGATTGTGTGATTTTTCTCTTTGGTCCAGAAATGTGTGGACATCAGTACCTTACCTGAAGGAAATACATGGAGTCCTACTTGTGTCTCTAACAGAACTCACACTGAGCCTCCCAAGACTCATGTTTCTAAGGAAGATATGTGAAGTAAATACAGTATGAGGCATATGACAATTCATACAAAATTTTTAAAAAATGATACTCCTTCATGTAAGATAGGCCTTTGCTTCATCTCAAACAGCTGATTCCAGGGACAAACTCTGGTTTCCCTTAATACAAGCTTCCACAGAGACAAGACTAAGTGTGTTTTCTAAGTGGCAGCACAGTAAGAAAAAGTCACGATTTTCAAGATGCAGGAAATCTTGACATTTTTGTTAGTTTACAGATATTTTTATATTATTTAAATTTTTAATTTATATTTTAATTTATTCTTATTCGTGAAAGAAACTCAAAACTGAATATGGAATCATCTTTGGTCTGTTACCACTTTTATTCTTTCTTCCCAAACACATTGATATCACTGATAACAGCTTCTGTTATTGGTGTTGAGAAATTTAGGAGACTCTTATAGGAGACCCCTTCTACAATGTCTAACTAAATATCTGAGGTAAGAGCAATTGGAACTAATTCCAATCCCTTCTCCCCATTCAGGGAGCCATAGACAAGGATTCCTTGGTGCTCAGCAGACAAGGAAAGAAAAAAATGTGTGTGTGTGTGTGTGTGTGTGTTTGTTACACCCCAAGCAAATACAAATAGTTGGTCAAGAAAATACAGGCAGTGAATTTAATTTTTGTTGTCCCAGACTGGCAGCATTCACAGGTGCCTGGCAGAGAAGCAAATGCAGAGTCCCTGGAGGATGACATATTTCCCCTGGTCCTCACAAAACATGTAACTTACCAACTCCCCAGTCATTGGAATAATCAAATACAGATTATAAAACCATCATACTTATTTCACAATATGTTTAAAAGTATCTGGAGGCAATAAGAAACTATAAGTCCACATAAAACAGTTGAAGAAAAATAAGTGAATTACTAGAAATGTAAAATATAGTTTTAAAAACTCAGTGGATAAATCTGGCAATGAGAATTAGTCACATAGAAAACAGATCACATTCTAGAATAAATTATTCAAAATACAGTAAAAAGGGGAAAAATGGAAAATAGACACAAAAGAGTAAAAGATGTGAAATGCACAGTGAGAGGATCTAACATACATTTAATCAAAAGTCCCAGAGGGAGAAAAAAGAGAAAGTGGGTTTTCAAGGTAATGTCTGAATAAACAGAACAGGATAATTCTTCAGGAGTTATGAAAAACACAGTCCACAGATTCAAAAGGCCCAAGAAATCCAAGTAGAATAAATTTTAATTACATTATGACACATCATAATAAAACTATAGAAAATACAAGACAATAAGAAAATTTTGAAAGTCCCAAAGTGGTGGGAAACAGATTAAAGAAATAGCATCAAAATTTCACCTAATTTCTCAACACCAAAAGCAGGAGCTGTTACCAATGATGTCAATGTTCTTGGGAAGAAAGAATAAAAGCAGTAGCAGACCAAAGGTGATTCTCAGTTTTATGTTTCTTTCAAGAATAAGAATATTTAAAATTTTAAATAATACAAAAAATATATTCAGACTAACAAAAACTGAGATTTTGCTCAACAAAAGATCTCATGAAGGAAAATTTTAAAAGGTGTATGCCTGGCAAAAGAAAAATAAGATCTAAGAAGCAAGAAGGAATGAAAAGCAAGGAAAGTGATAGACAATAAATAAAATACAAAGGAGCATTAACTGCTTAAAATAGTAATGAAGTCTAGTGGAGTTAAAAAAAAGCATAAAATAGAATTAAAGTGATGGATGAGAGTTGAAAACAATCAAACTTAGTAATGAGTGTTTAGGTGTTCATTTTAACAAGACTGAGAAAAGCAACAGAGAATTCAGCAACATGTCTATACGTAAAGTCAGTGTATAAAAAACAATTGTATTTTCCATTCTGGCAATGCCTAGAAATAATCTATTTTTTTAAGTGTATGCATAAAATAAAAGTATCAAAAATACCAAATACTAACAAATTTATAGGAATAAATCTAACAAACATAGACAGTAACCCGTGGGGCAAAAAAACATTAACATTCTATTGAGAAAATTTACAAATAACTAAGTGGAGGAATGTACCTGGTTCATGGGTTGGAATTCTTATTATGATAAAGATAGCAATTCCCCTCAAATTATCTATAGATTCAAAAAAAAGTCCAGTAAACAATCCCAACAAGTTTTGAAAGAAATATGGCAAGCTTATTTCTAAAAATAATATTCAGTAATCACTGAAGAAGAACAAATTTGGAAAATTCTGACTATACAATGTTATTACTAAATGACAGTAATTAAGGCAGTGTTGTGTTGTTACAGAAAGAGATAAATAGGTCAATGAAATAGGAAGGGGAGCCCAGAAACATACCTATTATATGCAGACACTTGATTTATTCAATAGTTATACTAGAGATATAGTAGAGGAGGATATTTTTTTTTTGGTACATGGTGTTGAGCAGTTGGATATGTACATTAAAAAGGGACATTAGACCTGTTCTTAACACCATTAACAAAAAGTCATTTCCCTGTCAACTACATGAAAGACAAAACAATAAGATTTTTAGGAAATAATGTATAAGAATATCTACATGATCTTGTAGTGGAGACAGATTTCCTAACAAAAGACTGATAATTAGCAAGTCTTTTCACTAAATGGTATATATCCCATGATCCAATGATTCCATCCCAAGGTATGTACCTTAGGATATGTGCTAGGATGCTTGTACTAGAATGTTCATAGAAACATTTTTCATAATAACTAGAAACAGAAAATAATTGAAATGGGCAATATAGATGAATGAATGTTATGAAATGGGCCAATGGAATGAACAAGTCAACAATGAAGTTATAGAGCTACACTCAACACCCTGAAGGAACTTAGAAAATATAATGATTATATAAATTTTCAAGACTTTTATATGATAAAATTACTTCCTTGGGATAAAGTTTATAAAATGAAGATACCAGATCAAAGTTTGTTGATAATTTAAAAATTGTGTGTGACTTTAGGACATTTTTAAGAACTTAAAAATAAAGAGAATAATAGAATACATAATAAAACTTACAACGTCGATTGTTTCAAACATTTTTCCTTAATAAAAATAGATTAACAGATAATCTTGAAGCTCTTTGATCACATGCTGTCCCATCTATAATTATGGCAATAATTTGAAATGCAGAAAAACATTCTATTGTGTCTTAAAATAGCAAAGGACATAGAAAAAATAAAATGCTTCATAATACAGCAGTTACTAAATACTTTCTCTTAGGCATTTAAAGGATTATCACAGCAACTTAAAAGACATATGATTCAAGAAAAAAAATGCCTACTTTGCACAAGTATAGAATTTAAAATTTTAGAATTATATGACTATTACAAATAATGAAGCTATTTTTTAAAAAAATAGTTAAGTCTTATCATGTTTATCCTTAATTGTAGAACTATTGGTGATTTTTTTGTGCACAATTTTCTGTACTTTCTAAATTCTACAAGACATATGGGTCTGCCACTTTAGTGATATGAAAATTATTTCAAACTTACATTAATGAATTATTCTTTCTTTTCTTTATACTTTGAAAATTAAACCTCAAGAGTTTTTCATGGCAAGAGGAAGACGTGACTCCAAATTTATCAATCACAGGTGATGTGTTGACAGCCATAATCACTCAGCATAAACCTAAAGAGAAATATTAGATTTTATATTAGAATACAAATGCACTCACAGTACCAAACAACACATTTCATGCAAATTCATGACTTGTGGGAAAAAGAGTGGCAAGAAGGAAACTCAGCCTTAAGAACAAAATTATATTATGGAAGAATTTAGATTTAACTACCAACTTAGAAGTAAAACCCAAGTCTGAATCAAAAATGCATGTTCTTCCTATTATGTTACTCTTATAAACTTATCCTTTCACATAACAGTTAGCTTTATTATGCTTTAGCAGTACTATCAGCAAAATCATTGGAAGAACAGCATGGAACAGTGGTTAAGAGAATAGAACCAGACTAACTGATTTACTTAACTGCTCTGTTCATCAGTTTCTCACTTGTACAATGGGCACAATACCTTTTTATAGAGTTACTGTAAGAAATAGGTCAGTATATATAAGTTGCTCAGAGTAGAGCCTGGCATATAGTAGGTGCTTTATATAAGTGCTTGTAGAAAGCTTTATATAAAGCATAGATTGCTATGCTTTCTGTTTTTTAAGGTTACTTGTAACTTTCTTTGTATGTCTCCTGCCTTTTTGCCATTTAGATTATGCTTTCTTCACCTGCCCTCACATTCTGATTTATTTTCCTTTTGAAGTATGTCTGAGCACATTTTGTGAATGGAAGACCAAAACCAGGACATACTATACATGTTTCATCGAGTATTTAAATAGCAAAATGAAGTAATAAAATGGTTAGTCAGATTTACATTGAATTATTTTGCATTTCATTTTTCAGTTAGCTAACTTTTAAAATTGATCATTATGCCAGTCAGGAAGTAGATGGCACACCCAAATGTGGTGACTGAATAGAGATACTTTCCAAAGATGTGGGCAAGAGTTATTCAAATTTAAAAAATGAAACAGAATAAACCTAAGATGCTGCTGATTATCAGGGGTTTACAAGAAGCAGTGAAACATTACCCTCTCAGGACTGACTGAGAAAGAACCCAGAAAGAATAGCTCCAGGAGAGTAGTGTTTACAAAAGAATCTTTGACCTTTGGTTAAGAGAGACAACCAATCTGAGGTTGCCTACTCAGAGGGAGCCTGGAACACTGGAACTTTGATCTCACTCTCCTTTGTACTCCACTGCAATCAACTACCTGCCTGTGCTTCCCATTAGCTAAACCAAACTAGAAGCCTGAAAAGGCATAGGCAAGAGGGGAAAGGTGGAAAGTGGATATAGAAGAACAATGGGAAAATGTCCAGCACAAGATGGATTATAACCACAAAACACTGTTATCTGCGACTATCAGTTTAGCAAAGTCAGCTTCTAATTACCTAGATCCATATAATGTAAAGCAAATGTACTTTTACATCAGCAGCTGTACTGGCTATACACAGACGTCATTCAGAGTGGGCCTAATTTTCATATAAAATACAAGTTATTCCCAAGCAGGAGTAACATATTCAAGAGCTTATTTTTTCTAATAGTTAAGAACATCACATTGGATTTTCTGCCTTAAAAGGCACTCAGGCAAACAACTACAAACAATTATTAATGAATGCATGATAAAGTACACATAAGCACAGAACAATAATAAAGATGTAAGAATATTTAAAAGAGTTAATTTGATAAATGCAGCAATAAATGTCACAAATTTGACATTTACTGAGTCATATGAAATTATGGAGGTAAGCTGTTTCCTAAGACAAAATCTTTAAAAGAAGTCAAAAAGAAATGCACCATTCATAAAACATTACATATTTCAGAAACAGAGTTTAGAAATGCAAATTTGAGTCAGACATACTCTTAGATAAATTAATTGAAAACATTTAATGAATAGAAAGTAAAAGTATAAGCCATCTAGGGAGAATTAAAGGCAAACTGGCTTTGTGTGTGTGTGTATGGTAGGCATATTGACATAGAGCTTTTAGCTATTTTCTGATACAGTACTCAGGATTGATTATGATTAGACATATTTTTTGAGGTTTGAAGAAGTTGGAGAATAATTATTTAAGAAATTCGCTCTTGATCACTGAGCCTGTCACCCAAAGATTCCTCACATCTGTGGCTAATAGTAGTATTTGCACCATCTACTCAACATGCAAGCACAAAACGCTGTTGGTGAGACTTCCTGTCTTGCCAATAGGTTTCACCACCTCCCAACCCCCACCGGCAAGTTCGCTATGGATACAATGTGACCAAAGAAAATGACAGCAAACGTTCTTTGGGTCTATCTCTCTGTATAGTGCAATAACAACTTATTGCCTAAAGGTGTGGAAGCAGTTCAGGTGGTTTAAGTTCAGTGAGGATCCTGGCCATAGGAACCCAATTTCCCCACAGAGGTATTTTGTGGGGAGTTGAAGAGATTTTTAACCTTATTTTCTTTGTTCATTCACCCAATTGAGGGTTTACTTCTACCATTTCTATGTAAACATTTCTGAAGATATTCATCCTTTCTTTTAGGGAACCTGAGATTATTTGGTTACTGTTTCTTTTACTTAGTCAAAAGAAATTATAACAAGTACATTAGGGAGTCATATTGTCTCTCTTGAATATCACAATACCCTTAAAATTTAGTGGTTTATAAACTAGGTTGGTTAAGCACAGTTACTACCAAAATAAGTACTCCCAAGGTTAGCAAGAAATAGAGACTAAAGATATAGAAACTTTTATAGCAATTTGACATTTTGTACCCATCCATTCCTGGGAAGTGTAGGGAAGTTGATGTTCCTATGACCAGGATCCTCACTAAACTTAAACCACCTGATGATGTAACTGGCCTGTTCCTGGGCTACTGCTTCCACACCTTTAGGCAATATGCTATTTTTTATTTTTATTTATTTTTATTTTTTATTTTGGTATCATTAATGTACAATTACATGAGCAACATTATGGTTACTAGACTCTCCCCATTATCAAGTCCCCACCACATACCCCATTACAGTCACTGTCCATCAGGGTAGTAAGATGTTATAGAATCACTACTTATCTTCTCTGTGTTGTACTGCCTTCCTCATGTCCCCAAACCCCACCTACATTATATGTGCTAATTGTAATGCCCATTTTTCCCCCTTATCCCTCCCTTCCCACCCACCCTCCCCAGTCCCTTTCCCTTTGGTAACTGTTAGTACATTCTTGGGTCCTGTGAGTCTGCAGCTGTTTTGCTTCTTCAGTTTTTGCTTTGTTCTTATGCTCCACACATCAGTGAAATCATTTGATACTTATCTTTCTCCGCCTGGCTTATTTCAATGAGCATAATACCCTCTAGCTCCATCCATGTTGTTGCAAGTGGTAGGATTTGTTTTCTTCTTATGGCTGAATAATATTCCATTGTGTGTATGTACCACATCTTCTTTATCCATTCATCTACTGATGGACACTTAGGTTGCTTCCATTTCTTGGCTATTGTAAATAGTGCTGTGATAAACATAGGGGTGCATATGTCTTTTGAATCAGGGATCTTGTTTTCTTTGGGTAAACTCCTAAAAGTGGAATTCCTGGGTCAAAAGGTATTTCTATTTTGAATTTTTTGAGGAACCTCCATATTGCTTTTCACAGTGGTTGAACTAGTTTACATTCCCGCCAGCAGTGTAGGAGGATTCCCCTTTCTCCGCATCCTCGCCAGCATTTGTTGTTCCTTGTCTTTTGGATATTGGCCATTCTAACTTGTGTGAGGTGGTATCTCATTTTAATTTTCATCTCCCTGATAATTAGCAAGGTGGAGCATCTTTTCATATGCCTGTGGGGCATCTGAATTTCTTCTTTGGAGAAGTGTCTGCTCATATCCTCTGTCCATTTTTTAATAGGGTTATTTGCTTTTTGGGTGTTGAGGCATGTGAGTTCTTTATATTATTTGGATGTTAACCCCTTGTTGGATATGTCATTTACAAATATATTCTCCCATACTGTAGGATGCCTTTTTGTGTCCTTTGCTGTACAGAAGCTTTTTAGCATGATGTAGTCCCATTTGTTAAATTTTACTTTTGTTTCCCTTTCCTAAGGAGATGTGTTCAGAAAAAAGTCACTCATGTTTATGTTCAAGAGATTTTTGCCTATGGTGTCTTTTAAGAGTTTTATGGTTTCATGAATTACATTCAGGTCTTTGATCCATTGAGTTTACTTTTGTGTCAGGGGTTAGACAATAATCCAGTTTCATTCTCTTGCATGTAGTGGTCCAGTTTTGCCAACACCAGCTGTTGAAGAGGCTGTCATTTCCCCATTGTCCATGGCTCTTTTATCATATATTAATTGACCGTATATGTTTGGATTTATATCTGGATTCTATTTTGTTCCATTGATCTATGAGTTTGTTCTTGTGTCAGTACCAACTTGTCTTGATTACTGAGGCTTTGTAGTAGAGCTTGAAGTCAGGGAGAGTAATACCCCCAGCTTTCTTCTTCCTTCCCAGAATTGCTTTGGCTATTCAGGGTCTTTTGTGGTTCCATATGAATTTTAGAACTATTTGCTCTAGTTCTAGAATGCTGTTGGTATTTTGATAGGGATTCCGTTGAATTTATAGATTGTTTCAGGCAGGATGGCCATTTTGACAATACTAATTCTTCCTATCCATGAGCATGAGATGTATTTCCATTTACTGGTGCTTCTTTAATTTCTCTTATGAGTGTCTTATCGTTTTCAGGGTATAGGTCTTCCACCTCCTTGTTTAGGTTTATTTCTAGGTATTTTATTCTTTTTGATGCAGTTGTGAATGGAATAGTTTTCCTGATTTCTCTTTCTTCTAGTTCATCATTAGTATTTAGGAATGCAACAGATTTCTGTGTATTGATTTTGTATCCTGCTACTTTGCTCAATTCAGTTATTTGTTCTAGTAGTTTTGGGATAGATTGTTTAGGGTTTTTTATGTACAATATCATGTCATCTGCAAACAGTGACAGTTTAACTTCTTCCTTACTAATCTGGATGCCTTTTATTTCTTTGTGTTGTCTGATTGCCATGGCTAGGACCTCCAGAACTATGTTGAATAAAAGTGGGGAGAGTGGACATCTTGTCCTGTTCCC